CCCCGTGGTGCAGTGCCGACGAACGAGGACCCGTACGACTACTTGCAGTATCCGAAGGTGACGCTGGATCGCGTTCAGCGCTATGGCGGCCTTGCGAATCCAGCACTTCCGTGGCCATCCCTCGATGAGGCTGTGGACGACAGCGCCGTCGGCAAGCTAACGCGCATGACGCAATCCAAGTTCGAGGAGCACATCTTGCTCGCATCCCTTCATGCCCCGAGAGGGCCCTAGGTACTGCACCGCCGCCTGTAGCCTCAAGCTTGTACCCGAAGCACACAAGCCCCAGCAGATTTCCCGCGAGGAAATGGACAGGCTCATGGTGGACATGGCCATCAAACTGCAGGTTCGTCCTCCAGGAACCTCGGGTGGAACCAAGGACTACTCCGCGATGCATTCCGAGAAGCGCAGCTGGACCCGAGTTTCGTATCTGTTGAAGATGAGGGGCTTTCTCTTTACATTGTGGGAGAGTAGCAAAAGAGCAAGATTAAGGGAGGGAGACATTGCCCTACTTCCTGCAGCCAGGCGATGAAAGCAAGATTGCTGAATCTGTTGATGATCACGAGCATGACGTCGGCACCGTAAAGGAAACCGAAGTCTCAGAGGAGTTGGCCGTGAACGAGAAAACCGTGCACCTCGGTGCGAAGCGGTCTTCGAGTTTGATGTAGGAACCTGATTAAGGAGCCTTGGTCCGTTTACTGTTAGCCCCAAAATGTGAGGACGCATAGTGACATGGAGAACTCCAGTATGGAGCAATGGCTTTTAACCAGGCTCCTAGATTAGTCCAATCGCCCTGGCAGGAAGTGTCCGAATTTATCAGCAGAGGCCCAGGGAAGCAGGAATAGTTCCCTGGAAAAATGCGCCAGAGTCGGAGTTTTGTTGCTTTTCTCCTTCGTTTCTTTCCAACCTAGGATTTCGCGAAAAAATTTAATGTTTCCTCTAAATGTTTTTGTTCCTATGCGTTTCCGAGTTTTGCTTATTTCTGGAACATAAGCAAACAATCGAGGAACATAGGTTTGTCGTTGAAAATGAGCAAAGGTATGCTTTTGTTTTTGGGGTTTGTGTGTTACAACCTAGCAATACGTGCACGCCTAAATGCCATGTTTCGCCATGCCAGCTTTTGCGAGTGTGTGAGTCGAAATGCCATGTTTGTCGTCCGTGTTTCCTATTTCATGTCTTAATTGTTTCTATTCTTACTTCTGAGTGTCAAGAAGATGCATTGTGGTGTTATCGTGTGTTCGGTTTTCGTGTCTCTACCGAGAATTTCGCGCTTAAGCTGGGTCAGTCGATGGTTTGGGGGTCGCTTACATGCTTTCGTTTTCGTTGTGTCTGTTCCTTTGAAGTAGCTCTTCGCATGTCATGCTGACAGGCTCAGTGTCGTGAGACCTGTGCCTTCTCTGTGTGAGTATGGTGTTTTCCTAATTGTCAAAATGTTTTTTCCTAAGTATCTCCCACTCTTCTCCACTCCGACTCCAACTGCCACGACGACGATACTGCTGAACTACTGCCATCACCGTTACAAATTACACTTGCTATGGCAAGACACTGACGTCCCTGGGCTTGCCAGCTAATGCCCGCAGGGTTGTGCTTCGGCTAAGGGGAGAAGGGTGGGTGGGCCGGTTGCGTTTTGCGAACAGTGCAACGATGCTCAAAACTGGGGTCGGGGTGGGCAGGGCAGTTAAAGAGCGACTGCTGCCACTCTGGATAAACAGATTCTGTGCATTCCGTACCTTCAGATTGTTCAGCTCTTACGGGGCTTTGCTCATACGTACTGTTACACGCAAGGTTTGACGTGGATGTTGTTTCTTGCCGCCAGTGGAAGCAGTCAAAGTAGCAGAAAGAGGAGCCGCAGCAGCAGGAGGCGGAGCAGTAGTAGTAGTAGTAGTAGTAGTAGTAGTAGGAGTAGGAGTAGGAGTAGGAGTAGGAGTAGGAGTAGGAATAGGAGTAGGAGTAGGAGTAGGAGTAGTAGTAGTCGTAGTAGTAGTAGTAGTAGTAGTAGTAGTAGTAGTAGTAGTAGTAGTAGCAGCAGCAGCAGTAGTTGCAGTAGTAGTGGTAGTGGTAGTGGTGGTGGTAGTGGTGG